TTAGGCAAAACAAAACGTTTTCAGGCAAACTGTCCAGTCACGCAAATACACTGCACTCAACAAAGCAACGAACGAACCATTATTTGAGTTCTTCAAGAATTTCACGGCACGTTCGTTCTGTGCGAAACTCGACGACACGCAGATGTGATCGATCCAACCGGTCGTACATCCCGCAAAATCCTCGTATCGCGACGAGTTCGCCGTGATCTTATCCAACAACGCCACCAAACACCACACCACAAAATCGCAAGTCGCGTGTTCAGCACAAATACTCCGAATTACCTTCTGCAATAATACCATACAGCAATTCTCGTCGAACAATTATCACACGTAAAATCATTCAACCTGTCCAACACTCAACACCATCATGATCAATATTTATTTCCATGCAGTTGCTAACAAAGAAATACGATCAACTTATCCTTTTTGACTTCTTCTACGATATAGTTCACTTTATAACGATGACAAAAAAACATTGGCAATGATCAGTCACTACAAGGCGACCACTTCCAGTCACACGGTATAAGCCTAAGCAAACCAATGATAGACTGCAAAAGAAAACCTGAAGTCTTTGTGAAGTGATACGAGCAGGGTCGATCAAAAACAGCATAATCAGAGTGACAATCGAGTCACGATCCAGCAGTTGCGTGGCGCTTTTCGACGCCAACGTTGTGGTTCCGGCTAGGGCGCCTAGCTGGGCGCTGCCTCCGCCCAAAGTTGTTTGACGAGTCGACGAGATGCGATGGAAACGACCCGGTGCAAACATTCGTGCGAATCGCATCACTTGCTGAAATGATTCATTTTTGTATAATTGTAAAATGTAATCGGATACAAGGAGTTTAGCCTGATCCCCCGCAATAATCCTGAACGTTCTACGTCTAATCCAGCTCAAATTAAATATCCCAACCCATCTCTTCAGACAGCTTATTCACGACAAAGTTTATTCATGCAATCGAAACTTATTCAAACGCCATAATTTACAAAACAATACTTCTTAAAATATCCCATTTACGGTGATGTTTGCTCAATAGAAATAGTGATCATGTCTCTCGACAATCCCGACAAATAAATGATAAATATTCTCACAGCTATTCCCACCTGCTGT